CTCCAGCCTGCAGCAGGGCTCCAAGCTGGCCATGCCCTTTGCCCACCCAGTGCTCACAGGCTGCTCCAGAGCATGGAGCTCCAGGTTCTGCCCTGACGAGCTTACACTGCAGTGGCCACTCAGTGAGTCCTGCCACGTGTCCGCCTGGCTCAGCAGGGCCCAGGGCACAAAGGCAGGGCAGCTCCAGCCCTGGGCTCCTGGGGCCCCGTCTGGGGAGGAAAAAGGCCATGGCCGTCACTCTGCTGGGGTGAGCACCGAGCTGGGGGTAGGCACGGGCCCTCTGGAACACAGTGGACACATCTGAGCTCAGCCTGGGGGCTTGGGGAGAGCTTCCCGGAGCAGGTGCCACCACCACCTCCCACTCCCCAGGGAAGACGGGCACAGAGACCGGAGGGGAGAGGGGGGGAACGGGAAGCTGGGGCTCATGGACATCTCTTGATAACGGCTTCTCGGGTGCCTCCAATGTGAGCAAGAGCGGTGTCTTGTGACACCAGCAGCACCCAGCCTCGTCGAGTGGTGTTCTCTTTTAGCAGCAAATCACTTCTCGGCCCCTCTCCCCCAACACGATGGTAGTTGAACTTCATCGTTGGCTGGGGAAGAACGTGGTGGCAGAAAACTACTAGGAATGCGGAAAGCTTTTAAATGTATGCATTTATTAGTCATGACACATCCAGAGACCCTGTGAGCCGGTGTGCCTGTGTGGGTGAGCCATCTGGGTTTTGCTTACTCTGCCACATCATTTCCTGAGCCAGCTGTTTTGTAGTCAAAGCCCAGCTGCCACACTGCTATGGGGTCGGGGGAGTTAAGTCAAGGTCAGTGCGTGCCCCCCCATCCCTGCCCCAGGAGCTCTGAGGTCCCGAGGGGCCTCTCAGATGTGGTTCCTTCCCGCCAGCGGGAGCCTGAGGACCACCGAGGGCAGCAATGAGGAAACACACGGTAAAGAGTGTGAGGAGGGCTGGGCTGGGCAGGGGGAGGCAAGTGGGGAGCATCTGCCTAGCCCTGGTGGTCACGGAGAGCTCTGGAGCAAGGGGGATCCGAAGGCATTAGCTGAAGGAAGGGGTGAGGAAGAACTGGGAACATGAGAAAGAGCAAGGAGCATAGGACCCTGAAAGGACAGAGGGGAGCGGCGATCTAGGGCCTTGCCAGATGGCTGCTAGGAGTTTGGGGTCTCTCCTGAGGGCGGAGGCGTCGCAGGGAAGGGTGCCAAGCAGGGGTCCCGTGTGATCAAGTTTGCAGGTGAGATCCTTGTCGCTGTGGGAAATGAGCTGGTGAGGCTGGAGTAGGGCCCCCAAAGAGCAGAGGAGTGGGATGGAGGGGAGGGGTGCATGAGCCACCTAAGAGTGAAGCCACGGGACCATGTGAATGCTCGGCCCAGATGGAAGTGGGTAGGGATGGGGGTGGGAAAGTGATAGGGTCCTGGGCTGGGGAGTCTGTGAGGCTGCCAGAGAGAAGTTCCAAGAATGCAAAAAATACTGCGCTTGTTGCCCAGGGGAGGGGCTGGGGACAGATGTGGGTCCCCTCAGCAGCTGGATGAGTAGCTGTATAGACAGCGGGGGCAGACCTTGGGGGCACCGATGGGAGGCACGCAGGCTTCAGAAGAGGAAGCCAGGAGCCTGCAGGGACACGCTGCCAATGGACCTTACCTGCCTGGTCCTCAGAGTGGATTCACTGGGGAAGAGCGTAGAGCGGCCCCAGCATCCCTGACACCCTATTCCTCTGCCCAGAAGCCCCTGCAGCAGCTGTGGAACGCCATCCTGCTGGTGGCCATGCTCCTGTGCACAGGCCTCGTGGTCCAGGCCCAGCGGCAGGCGTCAAGGCAGAGCCAGCGGGAACCTGGAGGCCAGGTGAGAGCCAGCCCCTGGGAGCCCCCGTGCCCCCATCCCTCCAGCCTGCCTAACTGTGCCTGCCCTCCCCCACCAGGTAGATCTGCTCAAGCTCCGCGTGGTGCGGAGACTGGCATCCCTCAAGACCCGGCGCTGCCGTCTGGGCAGGGCAACCCAGGGCCCCCCAGAACCTGGTGCTGAGACCTGCGCTGTGTGTTTGGACTACTTCTGCAACAAGCAGGTTAGTGCCGCGGGCACTGGCCAGCCGTCAGCTGACCTGTGATGTCTCTCTACTCCCGAAAGACCCCAGAACTGTTCCTACCAGGCCTTTATCCTCCCAGCTCCTACTGTAACTAGGAAAGCAGAATGGGGTGTTGTGGGGCGGGGGAGGGAGGGTGACAGGCCGCAGGGGTTTCAGTTCCCTTGCGCAGGTGGGGGACAGCCCCACTTGGAGGCCTGACTCTGGCCTGAAGCCTTCCCCCACACCCTGCAGTGGCTCCGGGTGCTGCCCTGTAAGCATGAGTTTCACCGAGACTGTGTGGACCCCTGGCTGATGCTCCAGCAGACTTGCCCGCTATGCAAATTCAATGTCCTGGGTAAGCACCAGCGGTGGGGGCCCTTGGCTGGCTTTACCTGCTCCCCACCTGACACCTCCCTCCCTGTTTTTTCCTCCTCCCCTGCAGGGAACCGCTACTCAGACGATTAGCTGCCCCTGCTGGGTCTCTGCATGTGGGCAAAGGACCCTCCCGCCTGCACCCTGGCCCTTGGCCTGGGCTCCTGGAACAGTACAGTGGATGGACAGGAAGCCCTGCTGGTTGAAGGAAGGATAGGGGCCTCCCCTGCTGAGGGGCAAGGCACCCCATTATATTCATACTGGGAAGAAGGGACCACGACCCCCAGAGTCTGGACCTGCCAGTCAAGAAAGAGAAGCCACCTTGGGGCCCTTCTCTACCATCCTGGGGTGTCTGTGTCTGCCCTCCTCGAAGGCAGCTCCCAGGACCCTGGGCAGCGGCCTGGGGAAGGAGGGTGTGGGGCAGTGCAGCTGTTCCCAGGGCTCTGGCGGTTCTCTGACCTGTCAGGCCATCCCTGGGGACTGAGGCTGCAGTGGCTGGCCGGGTTTTGTGCTTATTTATTGGGGGTTGGTTGTGGGAGGAGCTATTTGGCCTTGGGGACATCCGGCCTGACCGTCTTTCAGGACACATCTTGGTCAAGGCTGTGGCGTTCAACCCAGAGGCCCCTCCACAGATACTGCCCTCAGCTCTTGGACACTAGGAGCTGCAAGTGCTCCTGCCTGTTCAGCTGGGCTCCCTTCCCAGGCCTGGCTGGGACCAGACGCCTTGAAGGCATCCAATCCTGTGCTTCTTGGCTGGGCTACAGGTTGCTGACCAGGATACTTGAAGCTGCAGGATAAATGTGGTGCGTCCTTTAGGGACAGCCGGTTTTTTTAGATTTGGGGTAGGGGAGGTTTAATATTGAAGTAAATATGGATATATTTTAACATAAGAGATCAGATTCGTGTGGATGTCTTAAGACAAAAAAGTCACGTTGGGCTCTCCTGCCTGTGGGAAGGAGATTCTAAGACGGGCCCCAAGATCCCCCCCAGCCCTCATGAACACGCCTTGTTGTAAACCTGCAACTGGGAGTCTAATGGGTTTTACCCCCATGATTAGGTTATAGTAGATGGCACAGTTGACCTTAAGATAGGGAAGGTATCCAAGAGGGCCTGACCTACCACTAGAGCCTACTAGAAGCAGAGTTTTCTCTGGCATGGTGGAAGAAGAGGAAGTCAGAAAGTTGAAGCAGGAAGGGCATTCAGTGCATGAGAAATTCTCTGTTGCTGACTTGAAGATGGAGGGGGCCAAGCGGCAAGGGGGGCAGACGGCCTCTAAGCGCTAAGAGTGGCCCCTGGTGACAGCAGCCACAGCAAGGAGGTGGACCTCAGTCCTACAGCTGCAGGAGTCGGAATTCTGCCAGCAATCAGAACAAGCCTAGGACTGGGTTCTTTCCCAGAGCTGTCAGAAAGGAATTTAACCTGGCAGATACTTTGACGGAGTCTTCTAAGATCCTGAACGGAGAACCCAGCCACAGGGCCCGAACTTCTGACCTCCAGAACTGTGAGCAGAGGAGAGCTGAGCTGTGATGGGTCCTCCCCCTGGACTTGGGCCCACGCCTCTTGCCGCAGGGACCTCACCCCAAGGGCTGGCTCTCACCTGTGAAGGGCAGGGCTCAGGCATCCCAGTCTCCCTTAGCAACGCCAGGCTCCAGAGAAGCCAGAGTTGGGCAGATAGTGGCCATGCCAGTTCAGCTACACACATGGCCCTTCTCGACCCTTCTCTGTAAACTGAGGCACTCTACCTGTTGGCCTTCTCATCAGGGGAAAATGTCATAGGAAGCTGGGAGTGCCCACCCTGAGAAGTCCTGAGCAAGGCCTTAGAGCCTGTCCTTCACTGACATGGTGATTCAGGGCAGGCTGGAGGCTTCGTGGAGAAAACTGGACTGTGGGCCTGGCGTGGCTGGGTGGCATGAGTGCCAGGGCCCCAAGAGACAGGTCTGGGAAAGCCAGGGCTTGCTGCGTGTCCCACTGTCTGGTTAGGTGAGGCCTTGCCCTGCCTTCTAGGGATCCAACCTCCTGGATTTAGAGAAACCCTTTGTGACTCACATTTCCTGAAGGTGAATAGTTCCTTAGTAAAATGAGGACTGACTTTCTTGGGTCCTTAATGTCCCCATCCTGGGTTCAGGGCTGGGGCTGGGGAATGCTTCCCTGGCCTCTGCCTGCCTCTGTGAGCCCAGAGCCGGGACCCCCTTCTCTGACTCCTTCCTCACTGGACCTACCTTGGCAGCTGCTTTCCTTCCCTGACATACCCCCCTACCCTGACCCTGCTCTCCATTGGTAGGGGCCGCTGAGTCCATGTCGCCGTTTTGCCCTTGCTGTGGGGGTCAGAAGACTGCCTTTGACCTGGCCCAGGTGCTAACACTTCTTTCTGTCCTTGGTGTGCTCTCTTCTCCCACTGCCCTGTCAGGATGGAGGCAGGGAGTGCTCACTTACTGAGGGCCCACAGTGTGCCAGGCCTCTGCTGGCAGATGACTTGCAGGGCTGGGGACTCGGTGGTCCCTGCCCAGAATGGGGAAGGAAGGACTCTGCCTCTGGCTCAGCCACTGCTGTGAGGCCAAGGGAGCTGTGGGCACATGGCTGGTGCTTTATTACATTGAAGGTTGCCAGCTACCTGCCCTCCAGCCCCACTGCACGGCAGGCTACGAGGGCCGCTCCTGGGGCTGGTATGCAGGGCTGGCCTGGCCCTGGCCTGGTGACAGTCTCCTCCTCAGCCTGGCCAAGGCCCGGATGGGGTTCTGAGCACAGTTGGTTGAGTGGGTCATGTCCTCCAGGGAGGACCCGCTGGGCCGACTGCAGGATGGCTGAGGTGGGGATGCCCGGTGCTGGCATGGTAGGGTCCTGCCCGTGCTGGCTGTCCTGCGGCCAGGCAGCTGCCACCTGCCCAGGGGCCTGGGGGAGGACCAGATGGCAAGACCTCCTGTGAGTGAGAGGACCAGCCCACCCCTGTCTGCCCCACCTCCATCAAAGTCTTACTCACCCTGGGGATGCATTCTGGCCCTGGGCTGGGGACACTGTTACCTGGATTCCCTTGCTGGGAGGGACCCAGAGCTGGTCCTGGGGGATCAGCTGCAACGAAAGCCAAATTCAGAAAGGCCCAGGAAATCTCTCTGCACTGTTCAGCGAGGGTGTCATCGCCCTGGAGGGGAAGGGAAGGCCCAAACCCGAACAGCCCCTTCCTCTCGGGCAGGGTTTGGGGAGACTTCCAGGGCCACCCCAGCAGTGGTAAGAGTGGGAAGTTTGGCTTTCTGACAAGGTTTCTGGTTGTCCTTGAAATAAAGGCAACAAGAGCTGAAGGGGGGAATTTAGAGCCGGGTAGGCACTGTACCACCCGCATGCCTGCTTGAAACGCTGGAAACCACATGTGATAAGGCAGGCTTGCAGTAGGTTCCCAGGGCGGGGTCTGAAGACCTGCTGGGTCAGGGGCCTCCTCCAAGTCCCCAGGGGCCGGCCCTCTCAGGTTGAGGAGCCAAGCTGCCCACCTTGAGGCTCCCCTGCTGGGCTACCTCCCGGATTTTGGACAGCATAGACTGGAGCCGCCCATTCTCCTCCTGCAGGACCCGGATGCGGATGTCGTTGGCCTGTACCTGCCTCTCCATGTCGTCTGTAACATTGCCGGAGCCTGCAGGGACATACTCTCTGTTACCTCACCCCGCCACTGGTGCCCAGTGGAATAGGACCTCCGAGGGCACACACGCTAGCCAGGGTATGCCTTGGGTTGGTGGCCTGGTGAGCACAGGGGAGCCGAGCAGTTCCGTGCACCAGTCCCCCCCGCACCTCATCTTCCTTCTCCTGAGGCCTTGTCCCGGTTTCCCACCCCCTACCTGCTGGGAGGTGACCACAGCATTGTAGAATTTGAGAGCTGAGTGGGACCTCAAGCTCACTGAAGACTTTGTAACTAGACAAGAGAGTGAATCTCTTCCAAAGCCTCCTGTTTTCAGAGGGCCAGAGAGACAGCGAGGTGTCTCAAGTCACGCAGCCAGCTCTTGGGTATGAGTCACAGGAATTCAGCAAAGACGTTCTTTCCACCACTTGGGAGATGGATGCTTTCTTTCTGACTCTGAACCTGAGCAAGTTGCTGCCTGCTTTGGTTCTCGGTCTTGTGGTTTGTGAAAGGGCTGTTACCCATCTTATGGGGTGGATCAAAGGACAACGGAAGGGCCTGGCACGTAGTGCTCAGGACTGATGACTTATTGTGACCAGCTAAATTGCAGTGGATCTTCCCGACAGCTCCGCAAGTAGATTCACCACCCAGGGGCGAGGGCTGGAGGGCCTGGAATGAGAACCTAGGTTGCCTGGCATCCAATCCTCTGCTGAGACAGGTACCTAGCACTCCTGTACCATGGGGTGCATGACACTGGACAACTGGGGCGGTGCCCGTGAAGGTGGCCGTGTGGTTTGGGGAGACACCAGGACAAGGGACACCAGGACACTGAGCAAGGACTGGCACATAACATGGTAAAGAGCACAGGCTACAGAGGCGGTTAGACCTACACACAGACTCAGCCATTCGACAGTGGGCAGTCCCCTCGCCTCTGGGCTTCTGTGTCCCCATCTACACAGAGTGGCGAACACATGAAGCACTGTGTCCTGGGGACTCAGTAGGGACTGTGCTGCAGGCCGGGGAGCTACAGACTCCAGTGTCTTGCCCAGGTGAGCCCTCAGCTGCCTGTCCGGGCCCCAACATGCCCTGGCCACCACCTCTGGGCCCCTACTTGGGATCTGGGCCTCGATGGGTCTGTGCAGGTCTGGAAAGGCCACCAGCAGCCGCTCCCGCTCCCGCAGCTCCACGAGCTCTCGTTCCAGCTCCAATATGGTCAGCCGCAGATCCGTCGTGGCCTGCTCCAGGCCTTGCTTCTCCCGTTGCAGGCTCTGCAGCAGCTCCTGGGGCAGGGGGAGGCTCAAGCCTTGCCCAAGGAATGGCTCCTGGCTCCCCTGGGGACACCCCCCTCCCATCTAGACAGGGGACAGGCCTGCAGGCACTCCACCTGGAGAAAGGGAAGAGCCGTCCCGCACCTTGCCCTGCTGGCTCCTACCTGCTGGGCCAGGAGCTGGTTCTGCCCCTGCTCCCTCTCACTCTGTACACTCTGCAGCCGCTCCTCCACCTGGGCCCGCTGGGCCTCGGCCTCGTCCAGGCTGCCCCGCAGCTCCTCACGCTCCTGGTCCAGGCTGTCCAGCTGCTGCAGCAGGGCTCGCTGTTTGGACTGCAGGGACTGAGCCAGGGCGGGCGGGCAGGGAAGCCGTGAGGCTCACAGGGCAAGGCCCAGCCATGGGACAAGGGAGGCCATGGTATCTTTGACCCTCCTCCTTGTGCCCCGTCTGTGCAGAGAGGAGGCTGTGCACATGTGTGTAGCAGAAGGGGCAGAAGCGAGATAGGTGCACACCCCACTGGACCCCCCCCAACCCAGTCAGGGCCAGGCCCCCCAGCTTGCAGACCCCTACCCCTTTGGAAAGCAATTGATGGACTATCAGTCTCGTTCCCTCTTTCCAGTCACAGTCTCCACTGGGAGAGGAATTCTGGGCAATACATTTTCTTCTCCTTAGGTCTCCCATGTTTCATCAGCCCACCTCACTCGGGACCCACTTTTCCTGACGCCCACTGAGTGCAAAGCGGGAAGAACCAGTGCCGGGCTGCTCCAAGTCCTGGCTCTACCTCTGGCTGGCTGTGCGGCTTTGGGTAATTTCCTTAACCTCCCCGAGCCTCAGTCTCCTCATCCATAAAATAGGGATGACAAGAGTATCTACCTCCTATTGTTGTGGGAGGAAGAAGAACAAGAGGGCTACAGAGGCCAAGGCCCTGCACCTTGTTCACAGCACACATCTGATACCTGGTGACCGTGACTGTTTGCAGGGCACTGAGAAAAGCACCTGCTTGGCATTGAAAGGCTTTCTCAGCCTGGGCCATGCATGATGCTGGGGACTTCTACCTGGGGTCTTGGTTTCCCCTCCGAGCCTCTGAGAGTAAGACCAGTCAGGACAGTTCTCAGCCCTATCCGCTGCTCTAGGTGGCAGGTCACTTGCTCCCTTAGCCCTATCTTTAAGGATTCCTACAAGGCCCCAATGCCCAGGGCACAGCTGTATCCTGGGTCTCGGCTCACCCTTTGTCCTCCCTGTCCTTCCTCTGACTGATGGACTAATCATTAGCCCTTGGCATCCAGTTCAAAGGCCACTTCCTCCCAGAAGCCATCCTGGATTCCCACAAACAGATGGGACTGTCCCTCTGTAGACCCCTGCAGTACTTTCGCCGCACCTCTTAGCCATCTGGCGGCAGAGCTATGGTGGCCAGGCTGCTTGTCCTCACCGGGCGGTGGGGCATTCCTCCAGAACAAGGCCTCCTTTGGCTGTATCTGTCCCTGGATCACTGTTTCCCCAGGGCCCGGGGTTCAGGGGAGGGCTCAAAGTCTTGGTAAAGATCAAACAAAAACCTGAGTGTGTGATGGGGAGCAGGTACCCTACCCAGGTAAACCCCCACCCCCCACCAGTGGAGCTCTCTCTTCCTGCAGCCTACGTCGCAGACACCCCCAGATGCTGGGGGCCTCACCTCCTGGTGGCGGACCATGCTGTCAACACGGGCCTTCTCCTTGTCCAGCTCTGTGCTGGCCCAGCGGATCTGCTGGCTGGCCCCATCCAGCCGCCCTGCTAGCAGCTGCACCTGCTCCTCCAGCTGCTGCACCTGCCTCTCGGCCTCTGCCCTGCGCTCGGCCTCCTCTTGAAGCTGCCGGGCCTTTGTCTCTGAAGGATTGAGTGGGCATGGGAAAGGGTAGAGCAGGTGAAGCCTGGGTGCAAGTCCCCGCACTGCCTCCGACCCAGGATGGGACATGAGGTGGGGTGCGAGGGGTCACAGCCTGTCTCTGGGCCTCAGCGTCCTCAGCACAAAATGCAGCCTCAACCCTTCCATGGAAACAGAAGGTGCTCTCTGGGTGGGAGGTGGCACCCCAACTCCGGCCATCACCCAACAGTGTGGCCAGTCAGGCCCCGTCTCGTGGTTCCCAGAAGCCCGGGGGACAGAGACAGAGGGTGCTCATCCAGCCGCACTACCGAGCACAGGACACGGGGTACAGGGCCACACGATGGGGTTCCTCACCTATGGCCTGCATGGATTCCTGTTGCTGCTTCAGCTCCCCCTCCAGGGTGGCCACCTTCGTCTTGAGGTCACTTGTTTCTATGGCAGTCGAGAGAGGCCCTTCAGAGGCTCCCCTGGGCCTGGCTGGTGCCTTCACGCCCAGCGCACCCTGCAGCGTTGGGGCAGCTGGTGCTGTGTGGAGTGGCTGCGTGGGCCTGCAGAAGGTGCCAGAAGGCCTGGGCCCTTCCCCTCCTTCCTGCTGGCCGGCTGCCAGGTCTCTACACGGCTCTGGGCCTCCACAGAGGTGACAGGCTCAGGAAAGTGACCTGCCCAAATCCCTCAGGCCTCCTACCACCAGCGGGCACTGGCCCGCTTCTAAGTGCCATGGCTGTCTCTCTGCCTCAGCTCCCCTGGGGGATCCCCTCAGGGACACACATGAGTGGGCGGATGAACTCCCCGGCTCCCTTGCCCTCTGAGGGGCCAGCCCTGAGGCACGTGTTCTACACCACCAGCTCCAGTGCTCCCCGGTGGGACGAAGCTCCAGTTGCCTGCAGGGTAAGCAGCTCGGTGAGCTGCCTTCCCTCAGTGTCTCTGACCCCACTGCCTAGCCTGGGTTTCTTCACCCCAGCGACGTGTCCCTGCAGCCCTGTTACGGGGCCTGCTTCCGGGAGAGCCCGCGCTAGGGCTGCAGCAGAGCCCGGGGAGTACGGGCTCAGCCTCTGGGGCACAGACCTGTGAGAAGCTGCTGCCTCTTGCGCCCCCACTCCACCAGCTGCCGTGCGGCCTCGTCCGCCTGTCGCCGCCGCTCCCCCTGCTCCTGCTGCAGTGCTTGCTCCAGCTGGCCCACCTGCTGCTTCAGTCCGTCCTTCTGCCCCTCGGCCTCCTCCAGCTGGGCCCTGAGGGGCCCAACAAGCTGAGTGAGGGCCCCCATGTGCTTACTGAGGCGGGTCAGGTCTTTGCTCAGCTCTGCTGCCCAGTGGCCCAGGGTGGCAGCTGGCAGCGGCCTGAGGCCCATGCTGTCCTGCACCAGCTGCTGGAACTGGCCTAAGGACGAGGGCAAGTTCTGGCTCTGACACAGGCTGATGAGTGCCTTGCCCACCTCCCGCAGGCTGCCCTGGACGCTGGTGCATGCATCACAGGGCACCAGGGCCGTCTCCACCGTCTGGGAGTGAACGCTCCTCCTGTTCTTGGCAGTCCTGGCTGGACACCGCGGGGAGACTCTGACGGGGAGGCTGTCCAGCTCTTGGCAGGTCTGGGGCAAGCCTGGCGTCGGGGAGGGGGGCTTGATGAACTTGGCAGTCACAAATTCAGGGCTCCTGGCTGGCTCGCCCTTGGCTGTGGGCTTGGAGGTGAGGTTCTCCCCTTGGTTTACCCTCTTCTGTGGTCAGGAAAAGGAAGGGAGAGCAGATGAGGGAGATGGGCCTGGGAGGGGGATCAGTTTCCTGGGGATTATTCTGTGCAGCCTCTCCTGATGCTCAGACCCTTAGGGGTTATCTGACACCAATGTGAACGAGAGAGAGAACCTTCTTTCTTCGCTGCCTCAACTTACCAAGTAGGCCAACTCTCTGCTGCCCCTGTCCCCCTCCCCAGGCTCTGTGCAGTTCCGTGCATGGTACGAGAGTGTAACAGTGAAGCCACCAGCGTCATGCTGGTTACGGGGTTCTTGCCCAGTGGACTTGCTTGTTCTCATGTCACCATAGCTGCTCTGTTTTCCTTTCCTCCCTGTTACGGTATTGGTGGTCCTCATGGGGATTTGTGAAGATTACAGGATAAGCCATAACAAATGGGGCGAACATTTAACAGTATCACCCAACAACGCCCGGAGACGTAGAGACTGTTATTATTCCCACTGTACAGATGAACAAACTGAGGTGCAGGGTAGGCTCAGCATAAACAGCAGAGCCAGAGAGCCCAGACATGACCCCTGAGGCCTGCATTGCTAACTGCGCGCTGCAGGGGCCTTGACTGGGAGGCTCCAGAGTTGACACTGTACTCCTTCAGGCAGTGTGAGGCCAGTGAAGGTGTGCCCGCATGGTGTGCAAGGAAGCTGGGACTGGGACAGGCTGGACAGGTGTGAGGGTAACTAACCCACCTGGGGAGCTGCCTGCTGGTAGATCACACCCAGCCTCAGCAGGCTGTTCCAGAAGCGCCGCACCGTGAGCCCCACAGACATACAGGGCCCTACAGCCCGGGTAGGGGGCACTGTTTGCTCTGAGCCAAGGTCCTCCAAGAAGCTCGTGCAGCTCTGAAGCAGCAGCAGGAGCCTGTGGGCAGGGACGGCAGGGTCAGCTAGGGTAGAGCCTGGCACCAGCATGCCTGCACACCACACAACTAGCAGCCTCTGGCTCTGCGGACCTGGAGGGCCTTAGAATATGCTCTGCTGGACCAGCTTCAAATCCAAGAGCCACTTCCTCCAGGAAGCCCTCCCTGAGGGCTGAACTTGGGGGCATCTTCTGGGCCTCCTGGCTGACAGCACTTCCGCCTGGCTGTTCCCCACCACATTGGGATGCTCTGGCAGACTGGGTCTCGCTTCATTTGTATTGTGCGTGCTCCGAAAGTGCTGGGTGGTGGTGGCATTACATCACGTGGCTCAGAGCCTTCACCTTACAGAGGACAGAGCTGAGACCCCGGGAGCGGAAGGGCCTGCCCACAGCCTCAGGGTGAGCATGCAGGGCTGGGGCGCCTGCAGCTTCCTGATTCTAGTCAGGGTCTTCTCCTGCCCAGCAAGCTGCTTCTGTGACACTGGAGACATGAAGACCGCTAGGGGTCTATCCTAACTTCAATGTTCACAATTAGAGTCGGGCTACTTTTAAGGAACAGAGGCATTAGAAGGACAAGTTTGTATTTGCATGGGAACCAAACTATTTTAAAGGAAGAGGTATTGTATTTACAAAACATATGGGGCAGGTAAGTGACCTTGTCTTGTTCCAGGTGCAGAGGGGTCATCCTAAACTCACTAGGGTCTTGGGCAGAAAAGGCCTGGAGGAGGAGACACCAACTGCCTCCAGGCCCTGCCCCTCTCTGAGCTGAGGTGTCTTCCTCTATGAATGGGGACAACTGTGCCTTTTGCAGTGCTGGGCAGCATGGGGGGGCGTGGGGGAGAGCCTGGAAAGAAGACAGAGCATGGTCTTGACAGAGGGGGTGGGAAGACATGTGAGCAACAGCTTCACAGGGGCATAGGGAGACTGGGCCTTGATGGATGAGTGGGGCTTGGCCAGACCAGGAAGGGATGGGCAGGGCGTTCCTAGTAGAGGGTGACAGGGAAAAAGGAAGGTGTGTTCGGGGCGCCAGGGTGGCTCAGTCGGTTAAGCGTCTGCCTTTGGCTCAGGTCATGATCCCAGGGATCAGGGGATCGAGCCCCACATCGGGCTCCCTGCTCAAGGGGGAGCCTACTTCTCCCTCTCCTTCTGTTCCTCCCCGCCCCCCACTCATCTGCTCTCTCTCTCCCTTAAATAAATAAATAAAATTAAAAAAAAAAAAAGGAGGAGGAAGGTGTGTTCTGTGCTTATACGTGTTTAGCCTCTCACGGGTTCCAAATAGTTTCATACTGAGGGTGCCTCCATGCCTCTAGGTGGTTACCCTGGCTTCTTTGTCCCCAGGCAGGTCGTGCCCAAACTGTCCTTGCCTGTCAGGTCTCCATGATTTCCGTGTATGGTTTTGGTCACAGGGAGCCTGGGTGGTGGTCCCCAGGAAGTGGAAGGCTGATGGCCATGTTAAGTTTAATGACAGTGTAGAAGTGGAGGGGCTGCAGGGCAATCTTCCCAACAGGGCCAGAATCTGGAAAAACACACCCCGTGTCTGACCTTGTGACACACACTGGGAATGGCATAGCCCACAACACACCAGGAAAAAGGGCCTGGGACGGAAACTCTGAGCAGCAGCTGTGGTGTCCCCAACGCACAGAAGGCCTAAGGAGGCGGCCAACAGAAGCTGGAGAGGTGGCCCTCGGAGCTGCAGTGCTGCAGAGACCAAGAGGGGACCCGCAACTCCCTGAGGGCAGACAGGAGGGGAAAGCACAGTGCACCACACAAGCTGAGATGGCTTGTGAGGGCCCTTGAGCTGGCAGGCCTCCGTATCCCTGCTTCGGGGGCAGGGGGGATTCCTGAGGCTGGTCTACCGGTTTAAGGGGCAGATGCCAGCATCCCGAGATCACCAGGTTTGGTCAAGGCCTTCACCTGTCGATGACCAGCTCCAGCAGAACAGCATGGGACAGCTGCGTGAACTCGGGGTCACCCGGCACATGGTCATAGTGCTCTAGCAGGGCCACCATGTCCAGGTCGCAGGCCACGCGGTCAGGGAACTTCCAGGAGGGAAAGCACACAGGCCCAGCTCGAGAGAACACATCCACGATGGCGCCCTGCAGGTCAGTAAGGTCCTTGCGCAGACTGTCCATGCAGGACTGGCTGCCCAGCAGGTGCGCCATCCTCGGGGCTCCTGGGGTGAGCAGAGAGGGTCCCTGTTAGCCAGAGCCATGTGGCTGCTGCCGGAGGAAACTTCCTAAAATCCCACTCCGCCCAGTCGGTCCTAGGCCAAAAGTCCAACCTAGACCCCGGGGAACAGTCTTTCCCGGGCCCAGGCCATGGGCCCATACCTGGTACTGGAGAGACCTCACCATAATCCCGCTCGTCCACCCTGCCCCACATCTACACTGCCAGTTCCCTCCGAGAGCCTGTGTGTGCCAGACCCCTGCTAAGGGCTGGGCAGATACTGCTATGAATAAGAAGCACCCACAGTTCTTCTCTCCCTGCGCAAACCATTGACTAGGCAACTGACGACTAAGAGTTGTAGCTACAGTGTGACAGGACAGTGCGGGATCCTGCTGGGCCACTGTCATCTCCCACCTGGACCACCGCAGCTGTCTCTGGCAGGGCCGCAGGGCTGCCCCCTCCAAATGACACACTTCAGCTCTAGAGATCTGGCCCAAACCAGATCTGATCAGGTCACGCTGGCCAACGCCCCTCACGACTCCTAAGGGAGAAAGGCCACCTCTGGCCGCAGTCTCCCCACAGCCCTCTCTGGTCCCCACGCCACCACCCCACACTCTGCATTCCAACCCCCATCAGCTCCAAGCAGCAGCTCAGGTGCAGGCACTCATTTCTGAACCTGGGCCCATCTGTCCATTCTGTCTGAAACATGCTTTCCTCATCCAATTCCCATTACCCACCTAATTCCTCCCATCCTTCAGGCTCCCTGGAAGCCTTCCCTGAGCACCCTCTAGGCTGGGTGAGATCATCTCTCTGGGCTTCCCCCCATCTGGGCCCTGATCCCTCTCTGCTGGAATGGCCTCCACGCTCCAGGCCAGGTCCCCCGTCCACCTTGGCCACTGTGGTATCCCCAGTATGGCCAGCCTACGGCCTGGCCCATGGTCGAGGCTCACTGGCAAGTGAATGACTGAGTAATTGAATAGAGAAATGAAAAGAATCCACAAAGAAAAACTTAAATACATTGATTTTGGAGGGGGGAAACAAGTCTTAAGGTGTAAGAGAGGAAAACCTGAAAATTTGTATCCATACCCAAGCTAATCACTCTGGTGATGAGGGGCCCATTATATGTGAATGCAGAGCCCCAGTCCTGCCTTTTCCTGGCTGTGTGGCCTCAGGCAAGTCACTGTACCCCTATGAACCCTAGCTGTCTCTGTTGTAAGATGGGGACACCGTCCCCAACCAGGCTGGGTAGTTGTGAGGTCATTAAAGGCATCCAAGAGTAAAGTGCTTGGTGCAGGGCAAGACACCAGTAAAAGTGCTCGAGCAATAGTGACCATTAGTCTAGTGATTACTACTCTTAGCAGTAGCAACAGCAAACACTATCCTTGTCTGTAGCCACTCCCTGCCCTCTATATGTCCCCTTTTCCCCTCTGCAGCCCACACAGAAGGCTTCTCGTCCATCTCTGGAGTCTGTGGACATCTGAAGCCAGTGATTTGGATGAATGGCCCCTGGTCCTTGACTCAGAAGGTGGAGAAGCGTGACACTGTCCTGGCCCCTCCGGTGGCTCATCACAGGCCTTGCCAGTGTCACCCTCTTCTCTCTGTTCAGAGCTGGGCAGCCCTGGTCTCTCCCCACCCTGCAGCAGGGTCTATTGTCCTTTTTGGGTTTCTCAGCAGCAGAAAGTGCTTCCTTCTACCACAGCTCCTCCCTGCAGTGTGGGGGCTGCTTGGGCAGTATTTAGGCCATGGTTAGTCTCTCTGATCCCCAGCAAGTCCAGGCCTGGTGGAGGAATCTCTCTTCCTCCGACCTACTTCCAGCTCAACCTCACTCATCCTAGAAAATGGCACCCCGACTATGTGCAACGGGGCACTTCCTCGGATTCCCTTCCTTTACCCCCATCCAAACACCTAGGGCTGCCAATCCCATGTCCAGACCACACTGAGAACCCACCACTGTGTTCACCGTGCTGTTCCCCACTCCATCTTCTCCCCAGACTACTGCCACAGCATCCCTGAGGGGTCACCCTCATCCTTCTGCCCAGCACCACCTCGTCTGTCTGTATATGGCCAGAGTGATCATTTAAAAGGCAACTCACCCCCCTGCTTAGAGCCCTTGAATGGCTTTCTATAGAATAAAACACTGGAACACTTCCCTGGGTTCTGGCCCTGTGTGGTCTGTTCCACTTCAGCATCTTACCACCCAGAATATGCCTTCTCCTCCCCACACTTCCTCCAAATAACACACCTCCCACAGGTCCCCAGGCCAGGTGAGTTCACATGTTACATATTCTCAGAGCATTCTGTTCTTTTCCCTCCCAGCTGGGAGGGAAATATGCCACACTGGCATTGAATTATTATTTGAGTAATTATTTGCAGTTGGCAATCTGTCTCCCTACAAGCGCATGGACTGTCTTTTGAGTTCATTGTGGTATGACCTGGCCACGTGGGCCAAAGGACTTGAGGGCCAGCTGCTGCCCACAGGTCTTGGGACACTCAAAGGCACCCAGGGGTGATTCCTGAAGACTGAGCCGGCCTCTCAGGCCTCCCAGAGGACTGGGCCCTGGCCTCACCTCTGCGCAGGTGCCTGCCTGTGAAGCTGGATGTCTGGCTCTCAGGCTAGCCTGTGGGCTCTGGGGCTCAGGTCAGAGGCTCATCCAGGTGCCTGGTTTCCTGTCTCCAATGCAGGGCTGGCCCCGAGTAGCTCTTCAATCCCTGAGAATAGAGGAAGGCAAGAGTGAGTGAGTAGGCAATTAGGGAGGCTTCCTGGCGCAGCAGGGAGGAGGCTGTCCCAGAAGAAGGAGAGGGTGTCCCGGGCTGGAGGAATGGAGCAAGGGAAAGCTCACGTGGGGTCACCTGTCCTGAGCCTGAGCACAGAGGTTGTGCTTTAACAGTGCTAGGCTCTGACCACAGGACCTACTGTGTGCCACTTCGTGAATCTACCTCCTTTATACAGACGAGGAACCTGAGGCTCTGGAAATTAGGGGATTAACCCAAGGTCACTCAGAGAGCTAGGATTCTTGAATCCAATATCTCTGCTCTGTCTTCAGGCCATGATGCTTCTAGGGCAGCACTGTCCAAAAGGAATATAATGCTAGCCACACGTGGGATTTTAAATTTTCTACTAGCCACAAAAAAAAAATAAAAAGAAATGGGTAAATTAAATATTTTATTTAACCTAATAAACCCCAAATACCATCACTTCAATATGAAATCAATATAACACCATTAAGGAGATTATTTTACAGTCTTTTCTCCATTCAGTCTCAAAATCCAGTGTCTCTCTGACACCTACAGCACATCTCAGTTTGGACCAGTCACCATTTTCAAATGCACCACCGCATGGATGGGTGGCCACTGTACTGAACAGTGCAGGTATAGAGGGTCAGATCCTGTGTGTTCAGTAAGCAAATGGTGACTGCGTACCTTTGGCATCCTGGACACCGTGTCAAGAAAAGGGACAGAGAAGGACATGCAGAGCCCTGTCCCTAAGAGCCACTGTCTACCTCTGAGGATCTCTACAGTGGGCAAGTCTTTGGTATGTCAGCTCTGTCAGTTCCACCCACAGGGCAAAGAGTATCCACCCTACAACAGTCACAAACACACGCAGGCCCACATCCCTATACACATACGTTGGTGTCAGACTCTTGTGAGCTATTGCCACTGGTGAGATTTTCTATCCCCAAGGAATGAGGCAGAAACAAACGGAAAAAACAGACTGAAACATTCTGGGTTTCCTTCCTGGAACGGGAGGGAGGAAAGCAAGCAAGCAAGCAGGCAAGCAGTCCCGCCCTGGGAGGAGGCATATTCAGGTGGAAAAGCACCTAGGACTCGGGAGCTTGTCTGTGAAGACATCGAGAAACACGGACCTGTTCACCCTCAAATAACTACAGTTGCCATCTGGGGCCATCCGAGATACCAACTCCTGTTAGATTCTGGTTCTGATAAGCAACCACAAATGCCAAAGCAGCAATAATATGTAAAAGGAAAACACAACCTTGAAAAACATCCAAGGTTACCTTATGTCATTTCTTCTGAACATTGGGGATTTGCCGTTATAAACATGGCTTGAGAACCACTTCAGTGTGTGGCAAGTGAAGGAGCATTTGTAATTCTTTTCTCTGTAATTCCTGGGTCTTGAGTAGAACCCTCAGCCTAAAGCTGCTAACCCTGCACTGATTATTCCTGAGATCGTATGGGTGATGGCACTAATCGGGCCAACACTGCCCTGAGGAAGGAGCAGCATCTAACTTTGCCCTCCATCCTCAGTTCCCTCATGCTCAAGATGGACTTTTGACTTGCAGAATAGGGAAAGAGTCTTTCCTCCACTCCCATTCAACATGCAAGCCCCTTCTTTCTCTGAGTCATAGGACTCTACCCCTCTGGTAAAGATTAGGCCTACCTCCTGGCCAGTGCCCCTGCTGAGATTCAAGGTCACCACCAAGAAAACACTTTGGAAACTATGAAACCATCTATATCCCAGTTGTCAGCCTCTGACTCAGGACTGCTAATTGCCTGGATCCCGGGGGACAATGAAGGGACCGAGTGAAGACAAAGGAATAAGTAGCTGTACTAGTAGAGGAGTAAGAATGGCCTGGGTTTGGATTCCCACGCCACCAACTCTGAACTTCGCTGTCCTCGTCTGTAAATAAATTGCTATTAGAAATTAGTGATGTAGGGAAACCTGGATGGCTCAGTCGGTCAAGCTCAGGTCATGATCCCAGGGTCCTGGGATGGAATCCCGGCTCCTTGCTTAGCCAGGAGCCTGCTTCTCCCTCTGCCTGCCACTCCCCCTGCTTATACTCTCTCTGTCTCTCTGACAGATAAAGAAATAAAACTTAAAAAAAAAAAGAAATTAGTGATGTAATGCATGTAGTGTTTGGCACAGGATCTGGCCAGGTAAATGTTCAATAAATCCTAGCTATCACTATCATTCTACGTTAATAATTACAACAATGACATAAACCAGCTATGAAATGTGTGTGTGTGTGTGTGTGTGTGTGTGTGTGAAAAAGAGATGGGGTAAAACATTTGGGAGGGCATCTCTTCCTATTCTGCTTCCATTTCACAGGTGAAGAAACTGTTAAAACTATCCAGGCAAGGGCTAAAAGCCGGCGGGCAGCCTGGAGCTGGGATGAAGGGGAGAGGGGACAAGGAAGACAGGATCTCAGGACAGGAAATGGGAACGGTGAGATTCGAGGTGAGCTCGGGGAAGCTAGGGAAGTGGTCAACAAGAACGCACCTTTGGGAATGAGGGATGGAGCTTAAAGAAGTCTTGATTCGAGACTGTCCGCGGGGCTTGAGGGCGGGGCTATGGAAGGCCGAGGGTGGAACCTAGAAAAGGCAGTCCCACGGTTAAAGGGACCAGTGGGAATTAGGCCTTGGAACTTGGGACTTGGGAAGGGGATCTGGAGGAGGTAGGCGTGAAGCGAAAGAAGAGGTTAAGGAAGGAGGGAGGTGGGACTTTGAGGAGGCAGGCTGGAGGGGAAGGGGCTCTCCAAGATGACAGGCCAATGAGAGGGAGAGAGGAACCCACCTTTGGAGTAAAGGAGAGGGGGGCCAGGGCCGTGTGGTGTGTGCGAAGAGCGTCCGGCGGGTGATGTAGAACGTCTTCCCAGTCTCCTGCGTCTCAGCCTCAGCCCTTGTGGTCTGGTCGGCTCATAGAACTGCCCCTGGCGCGCCTGCGGCTCCGGGGATCCCCCCACAAATCCTAGCCGGGTGCCTCGACCGCTCCCATGGCAACGGCGTCTCGCGCAGACGGCTCCAGGGAGGGGGCGGGAAGTTGCATCACGAAGAAGGGGCGGTCCCGGAAGTGCGTCAGCCTTCCCTCCTCGGCGACGACTCTCTCGGTCGCCGCCATCTTGCGAGCTTGTCGTATCGGCCGTGCGGGGAGCTGCTTTGACGCAGCACCGCTCACCTTCAGCGAGGCGGACTGGCAGCCCTGAGCGTCGCAGTCATGCCGGCCGGACCCGTGCAGGCGGTGCCTCCGCCGCCGCCCGCGGCCACCGAGCCCAAACAGGTACCGCGACCCCCGCACCTCGACCGGCAGCCCGATCCTCGGCCCGTCCCGTCCCCTCCGGCGCGGGCGCTCTTCACTCGTGCAGAGAAAGAAGCGGCCGCTTACGAGGGTTCGGAGGGACTGCAAGTCCCAGGAGGCAGCGCGCTTCCCGCTCTGCGCTGCCTTCTGGTAGCAAAAGAAGCGCTTTTGGAACAGTGGTTCTCAAAGTGTGGTTCCCCGACCAGCAGCATCAACGTCACCTGGGAGTTTATTAGAAATGCCAGACCTAAATACCAATGCATTTTAACAAGATCTCAAGGTGATTGGTTAAAGTTTGAGAAGCACTGATCCAGCCCATCCGCAGGTTTTCTGTGGTTATTGGGCCCACCGACGTGTCCTCCCCAGCCCGCCGGTTTTTGCCCAGTAATCCCTAGTTTCCCAGTCTGTACGGTACATTTTTGGTAATTCTTAGCATCTGCTCGGTGCTTATCTAAGCCAAACACCGTGCCAGGCTCCGACTTACCCAGAATGAATGAAGCACAACCAGTTTAGGGAGCTCACAAGTCTAAGTGAGGAGATAGATACAAGTGAATATTCTACTATTGCTTCGATCACCATAAATGATATCAGTCAGCACTTAAATCAGCTGAGGGGGAAAGAGGTGTGTAAATAATTGCAGTATGGTGTGATAGCCCCTATAAGTATCAGATACAAAAGAAACTGTATTCAACATTTTTTTGATGGAGTGAAGGGGAAATTAAAGTAGGTGAAACCCACATGAGTGATAGGTAAATTGCTTTTAGAGGGATGAATTAGTAGTTTGCCATTCAGGTGATTGGAAAAGGTTAACAGCATCCTTTATTCATTAAGCAAACATTTATTGAGCACATATTGTATGGTGATCACTGCTTTGGGTTCAGAATACAGAAGGGGTCCATACCCTTACCACAAATATTTTAAGTACATCTGTATCCCTGGCATTTTCCCAGTCACTTGGGGAAAAGTAAACGAGTTAATACCAGATAATTGCTAAGACACCAGGGTAGGAATCAGATGGTGTCTCTGGTCAAGAGTAAATTAAAAAGTGTTGCTGAAGCATAGGATTAGAGTGGTGGCAAAAGATGCATTTTGGGGGCATTTTAACTTTTCCTAGTACACAGTGGGGAGAAAGAGAAGAGTTTGAAGCTGGATAATGACATTTGTGTTTCAGAAATTCAGATAGGTAGTGATGAGAATTGCTAGGAGCGCAGTTACTCAAAAGATGTTGAGGGCCTGCCCTAGATGTGGAGGAGTGGGACAGAGTGGATGGGCAAGCTCAAGTCACAAAATGGCTGGTGGTGCAGACTCTCCAGCTAAAGTGATGTGTTGGAATCCTGGTCCTGCATTCGGGCCAGTTAAGCTTTATGTTCCTCTGTTTTATCATCTGTAAAATGGGGGTAATGAGTATTCACATCATAGGGCTCTTATAAGAGCCATAGAGTTAATATATTTAAAGTTCTTAGAAAAGTATATGGAACCTACTGTGTGCTTGATAAATATTATCATTGAATGTGGAGGCTGAGGAAGGGAGAGGAGGGCCATGATTCTGGCCTGGGTGACAGTGCATGGCTGGCCGTTCATGAGGAAAGTGGTTAAAGAGGAAAGTGCCTGGGAGTCAGCTGGATCTAGAGTTCTGTGACACGTAAGAATGATCTGAGACGTCAATCTGGGGAGATTGTTCAGCCTAGAGGTGGTAGGGGAAGTAAAGGACATAGTTGTGAGTGCCTGAGGACAGTGTGAATACTGTGGAGAACAGAATTTTCGGGAACCCTAACATAGCACAGGAGTTCGGGAACCCTAACATAGGGCAGAAGGTGAAACAGGAGCCAGGAAGGAAACTTGGGTGGTGAGCAAGAAGGAAAGACACAGGAGAATGGGGCATGGGAGTTGAGTGGAGAGTTCTGTGAAGGAGTGGTCATTGGTCACATGACCAGACTGCTGTAGGCAGTCATGTTTGACTTTGGCAAGAGCACTTGAAATGGCAAGTGCTGAGAAGTATAGTTCTCAGGGAGGTGAGGAAGTGGGAATGGCAAGGCTGAGAAAATTCAGGATATTTAGCTACTAGAGGAAGAGGGGGAGAGCATAGCAGCAGGAAAGAATATGAGGGCAGGGAACTGCTATTTTTTTAAGATGAGAGACTGACCCTTTGTTTACTAAGGGGAAGAAGCTGGTGAAGAAAGAATATTGGAACTTATGGGACAGGTGATGTTGTATATTCCGGTGGGGTTTCACAAAACATTGGAGCATTGAGTGGTGGTTGTGACTAGAATAAGTGCAGAGGGAAAGGGCATAAGGAGCTGCCAGCAAAGAGTTTCCCGTCTTTATTCAGCAAATAGTCATTAATTATCCTGTGCCAGCCACATCCCTGGGTACAAACATGGCTTTCTGGATTCTGAAAGATGGTTTCTTAGAATGTGGTCAGATCCCCCCCCCCCCCCCCGGCCACCATCTGAATCATCTGGACATTTGGTAAAAATGCAGATTCCTAGTGTCACTGAGAGCGGCTAGCTGGGGGGTGCCAAGGAGGCTGCTCTTTTCGCTGGTTCCCCAGGAGAGTCCCATGCAAGCACAGTGCAGTTAAGAGAACCACTTTTCTGGAGCAGAGGGTCCTAACTCGAGGAAAGTCTGTGGGAGAGAGTCTTTATTCTCAATAAATTTTAGAGGAGTTTGACAGTCGGGATCCAGTCCCCCAGACCAGGAACTTCAAGGCATTATTTTCCTTTTCTTGTTTCCACAGCCCACAGAAGAAGAAGCTTCTTCAAAGGAGGATTCTACCCCCTCCAAGCCAGTGGTGGGAATTATTTATCCTCCTCCGGAGGTCAGGAATATCGTTGACAAGACTGCCAGTTTTGTGGCCAGGTAACATAGCTGCTTCTGTGTTGTCAGCCTAGGCCCATGAGCTCATCTAACACTACAGCATGGTGGTGAGGAGGGCCATGGGCAGGATTGATGTCTCCAGCATGGCATGGCAGTGGCAGAATGTGAGTCACACCCAGTCCCAGAGTCACCAGGAATCTGTGCTTCCAGAATAGGCCTGAGGAAGTACCTAGGAAGCTCTTTTGTCACGGAGAGTATGTGTGTCTGTGTCTGAGCTGCTGATTGGAGGAAGACATAAAAAGGGAGTTGGTCATTCTCATTATGCAAGAACTGTACTTCTCTGAGCTTCAACTGACCCATCTGCAAAATGGAATAAAATACCACCTCAGAGTTGTTGAGAGGCAGGAGAGAGGGAATGGGACTGAGTGCAGTTCAGGTACATGATACAAGTGTCATCTGTCTTCGTGGATGACGCGGAAGTCAGTGCGAGTTCCTCTCATCCTTCCCCATTATATTTTACATGCTCCCACTTCCTCAGATGGAATCCTCTTGATGGCCACTTGACTCCAAAGGTCAACACATCCCCTAGTTTAAAGTATTTAAAGTATTCTTTTGGCAGCCAACAGGCCACATGCAGCCTATAGAGCTCTTGTTTGTCCTCACGATACATATATTTTTAAAGATGTATTTATCAGGGAGGGAGGGAGAGGGGTGGGGGATTGGGCAGAGGGAGAGAATTTTCAAGCAGACTACCCACTGAGTGGGGAGCCTGACACAGGGCTTGATCCCACGACCCATGAGATCATGACCTGAGCCGAAACCAAGAGTCAGACACTCAACTACCTGAGCCACCCAGGTGCCCCATCACAATATATTTTTTTTAAACTTGAGTAAGTTGCCACCATTTAAAAATGAGATTGGGGTGCCTTGGCTCAGTTGGGTTAAGCAACTGCCTTCGGCTCACTCATGATCCCAGGGTGCTGGGATCATGCCCTGCATCAAGCTCCTTGCTCGGCGGGGAGCCTGCTTCTCCTTCTCCCTCTCCCTCTCCCTCTGCCTGCTACTCTGCCTGCTACTCTCTTTCTGTCAAATAAATAAATAAAAATTCTTTTTTTTTTTTAAGATTTTATTTATTTATTTGACAGAGAGACACAGCGAGAGAGGGAACAGAAGCAGGGAGAGCCACCCAGGCGCCCCAATTAAATAAAAATTCTTTAAAAAAAAAATGAGATTGCACAAAAAATCTGGATTTCTGTCTTTTGTCAACGAACTGGACAGCTCGTTGCATATCAGCAATTGCTGGCCTAGAACACGCTGCTGCCCTCAGTCCAGACATGTGTTCTCCAGAGGGCCATGCCTTGACCCCAAGGCAGTATCCCCATCACAGTACATCATTTTAATAGAGGATTCCTTCCTTTACCAACCTCCTAATAAAATGAAACATAGAAAGAGGTTACTCTGCTTGAGGCCTTTTGCTTGTTGGGCTCCATGCAGATTCATATCCTCACATTTCAAAGGCTTTGATTAATCAGGGTATTGCATTAAATCTGCTCTGTGCTTGGTTGAACAGTGTCAGGTTTAGGGCAGTAAGTGTTGTGTTTATGATAAATGTTTAATGTGTCATAGCAACGCTCATGCTTCCCTTTTCGCCCTGATAATTTAAAAACAGAGTAACTAGGAAAAGAGTGTTAGAGGAAGAATCACCACAGTCTCACTATCAGAATGGTTTCTACCGGCTGTTTTCACTTTCCTGTTTCCTTCTGGTCCTTAATGTCTTTTTTTAGATCCTTGTAATACTAGTAGATACTTTCACATCCTGCTTTTTCCTTTTGTGCTGTGTTATAAGCATTTTCCCGTGTTGCTCTATGGT